TTTTTTTTTTTTCTCAGACCCAGATGGGTGTCTCTGGAGCTTGCTCCACTTCTTCCGCCACCGGAAGACGGCATCCGGTGTCTCTGAAGGTGGTGTCGATGGACTCGAATGGCCGAGCCGGCGACCGAAGCGGCAGTGTTGTCGTGGAGAACAGCACTATGAATGAAATTGCCAAGGCACCATCGCCGGTGGTCGAGGTGGAACCCAAATCTACCGCCAGCAGCTGGGCTCAGGATGCGTATGTTGATGATTCCGCCGCCGCCACAGAAGAGCAAATCATGACACCTTGGAGCGTTTCTGTTGCAAGGTGAAAATCACGATCCCCATTTTTTTTTTTTTTTTTTGGTTGATTGTTTAATTTATTCACCCCCTTTTAACCTTGTGTCATCTTATATTATAATCTTAACTTGTTTTTTTGAATTTTATGGGAATTAACTGATTGCAATTTGCATCATATTATATTGGTGTAGTGTTCTTGATAATCTTCTAGACCTATATGTTATTTGTTGAGTTTACATTTCATATAGCTGCTGATTTGTGATTTCCTGCCGACTTATTTGAACTCTGCAAACCCTTGAGAGAAATTTCTTTATGTTATTTCTCTCACTTTTCTGCTGTCTTTTGTTCCAATCTTTCAAAGCTGATTCTTTTTCTTCTCCTTGTGTTGGTTTTTCGCTGGAAACTCAGTGGATATAACTTATTGAGAGACCCACGCCACAACAAAGGGCTTGCTTTTACTGAGAAAGAAAGAGATGCTCACTACTTGCGCGGTCTGCTACCCCCGGCAGTTGTTGCTCAGAATCTTCAGGTTACCCTTTCACTTGAGATACCATTCAGGCGCATTGTAAATTTTACAAAACCTAGATTTTGATTCTTGAAACTATTTGGAACAACTTTCCAGGTAAAGAAGATGTTACACAATATTCGTCAATATCAGGTGCCATTGCAAAAGTACATGGCTATGATGGATCTTCAGGTAGCCATTTATTGATGTCATTTTTTTAGTAGGAATTTCAAATGATTCTTGATTAAATTTTTGGATTTCATCTTCTTGAACACAAAATTCTGAACCTTGTTGAACCAACGTTCTTAATATATGCATCAATCCTTGTAAGTACATCAGTGGAACTTATTATGAAATTGGACAAGGTTTTCTCTCCCAAGATTGATACTTTGCATATCAGATTCAGTACTATTTGTCTTATAACCAAGCTTTTCTATACCCTTTTTCAGGAGAGGAACGAAAAGCTGTTTTACAATCTCCTTATCAATCATGTAGAAGAATTACTCCCAGTTGTGTATACACCAACCGTGGGTGAAGCTTGCCAGAAATATGGAAGCATCTTCAGGCAACCACAGGGTCTTTACATCAGTTTGAAAGAAAAGTACGTTTCTTGATTGTGATGCATTTCTTTCTTGGTTTTTCGTGTTGAAATGATCAAGTTTCTTTTGCAGGGGGAGGATCCTTGAGGTTCTGCGGAATTGGCCTGAGAAGAACATTCAAGTCATTGTAGTAACTGATGGGGAGAGAATTTTGGGTCTAGGAGACCTTGGATGTCAGGTTAATTCCCTTTGCAACTCTTTCGTAATGAAACTTGTTTACAAGTATTTAAAATGATGATCCTCCACTGAAGCTTGAGATTGAGCGATGAACTCTTTCTTTTTGTCTGTTATTGAACTTAATGATCCTAACACAGAGCTAATCCATGTAATTATTTTAGGGGATGGGCATACCCGTTGGAAAACTCTCTTTATATACTGCACTCGGGGGCGTTTTTCCTTCAGCGGTGAGTGCCTATACGATCTCATCCTACTCTTCTATATAATTGATTTTCAAAACTAACCTTGCTTGATTCATTTCCTTTCTCGTTGTCTCAATATCTAATTTATCAAAACTTTCAGTGCTTGCCTGTGACCATTGATGTCGGTACGAACAATGAGGAGTTGTTGAATGATGAGTTTTACATTGGACTCAGGCAAAAGAGAGCTACTGGGCAGGTTTGTATTTTGCATCTATAGTTTAAGGTGACAAGCTTTATTCATTCCATTCCAAGCTTAAGTGGGATGCTTTTACTTGATATAGGAATATGCGGAACTTATAGATGAATTCATGACTGCGGTCAAGCAGTGCTATGGGGAGAAACTACTCATTCAGGTACTTTACAGTAATCACACATACTTGTATAGTTGGGAAAATCTAATCTTTTCTTTCTTAATCATTCTAATATTCATCTAAAATTAATTCCATTTTCACATTTTGAAGTTTGAAGATTTTGCAAACCACAATGCATTCGACTTGCTAGCAAAATACGGTGCAACTCATCTAGTCTTTAATGATGACATTCAGGTTAGAACCTTGGACTTTTCATTTCACTGTTTGAATAATTTCAACCAACTTATCTCTGATATCTTTGTCGCATTGAATCTCAGGGGACAGCATCCGTCGTCCTTGCTGGGCTCATTGCAGCCTTAAAATTCGTTGGCGGATCCTTAGCTGACCATAGGTTTTTATTCCTTGGTGCTGGAGAAGTATGTCCATATTTATTCATGTCCAACACCTCAAATGTTCCTCCTAATTTTGACGTAATATATTAACGTTTGGTGTTCCTTTCATTGTCTCAGGCTGGTACTGGAATTGCAGAGCTCATAGCCCTTGAGATATCAAAACAGGTTAAAATGAATAGTCATTTTAGACTGTAGATTTTCCTCATACTTCGTTCAAAATTTATTTGGTTAATCTTCATCTTAATTAACAAGGGCTAGTCCTTTGTGTAGACCAATGCTCCCTTGGAAGAGACCCGCAAAAACATTTGGCTCGTGGATTCGAAGGTAACTAATTCATCAAGCTTTATGAGGCGTTCATCATTCATTAAGTTTTTTGAAATTGTGATTTCTGATTACTTGTTTTTGTTCATTCCTCAGGGGCTGATTGTAAGTTCTAGGAAGGATACGCTCCAACATTTCAAGAAACCTTGGGCTCATGAACACAAACCTATTAGGAAACTCATAGATGCCGTTAAGGTGTGTTAAATCTCTCTACTTACCTCCACAAATGCAAATTCATAAATTTGAACAAAGTAATAAGTTCCTTTTTTACTGTTACACATCAGGAAATCAAACCGACTGTCTTGATTGGAACATCAGGCGTTGGAAGAACGTTCACTAAAGAAGTCGTGGAGACTATGGCCTCGATCAATGAGGTATTGAATCCATCTAACTGATCGTTCCTTTGTCTTTTACTTTAAGAAGAGTATAAGCAGATCATGTTTTGGTTAACTTGTTGCAGAAACCTATCATTCTCTCTCTTTCCAACCCTACTTCCCAATCTGAATGTACTGCTGAAGAAGCTTATAAATGGAGTCAGGTAAATACAATAGCAATTTTTCAACTGCCTCAGTTTTGCCATAGGGTGTCCTCCTCCATATTCATTTTGTATGACATTGTTGGGTTGTTTTGCTCAGGGTCGTGCCATTTTTGCAAGTGGGAGCCCATTCGACCCAGTAAACTACAAGGGGAAGACGTTTGTGCCTGGCCAGGTTCCACATTTCAATTTAATTCTGTCTAATAAGCCAAACGTATATCAAGATTTGGGTGTTAACATCATTCTATGGTGATTTCTTTACAACAATGCAGGCAAACAATGCGTACATCTTTCCTGGATTGGGTTTGGGGTTGATTATGTCAGGCACAATCCGTGTTCATGACGACATGCTTCTAGCAGCCTGTAAGTACTCATAAGCCTAGCAAGATTTAAGTGCAAGATGGGACTTTTGTCCATTGCTATGTTTAAGTCATCGTTTTTATCGGGTCGGGGTCCAATCCATCCTAGCCTAGCATATTAATGTACTTGTTTATTACCATCAGCGGAAGCCTTGGCTTCACAAGTGACCCAAGACGACTACAACAAAGGACTCATCTATCCTCCATTTACCAACATCAGAAAGATTTCAGCACATATTGCTGCTAGTGTGGCTGCAAAAGCTTATGAACTTGGTGAGTCTTCAACTTCATTTCCTTTTCCCAAACTTTTCAACGAGTTACAATTTGCTAATCATTCAATGTCTCATAGGTCTGGCCACTCGCCACCCTCAACCTAAAGATCTGGTGAAATATGCTGAGAGCTGTATGTACAGTCCTAGCTATCAAAATTATCGGTAGATTTGCGATGTCTCTCGTAGCTGTGCCGTGCTGTGTCGTTCGTTTATTTTCTGATAATGTATCTTCAATTTGTATTACTTTCTTTTGTTATGTTATGTTGTAAGTTACTTGGTTGTTTAGAAATCAGTTTATAGTTTGTATTAGTTGTGAGAAAAAGAAAAAGAAAGAAGAAAAGAAGAAAAGGGAAGGGGAAAAAAGAACTCTTACAAGTGTTTCATGAAATTGAATGGAAACTTGTGCTCAAAATCTTTAGTAGATTCATGGTTTATTGTTGGAGATTTCTGTTGAATACTAAACATTAAGCCAATACTCTGCAATTCACTCAGATTGTTTGGATGTGAAATAAAAAAGCATTTTTGTGTAGAAGGGTAATATCAATGTCCTGAGTGAGATTCTAAGCTAACAACTACAGGAGATAATGATGTGAAATATTCTGATCCTTTGTCTCCCACTATATTCCACTTCTCTTCAAATATTTAGCTCATTACCAAAAGAAGCTGCAGATGTGACACTACAAGACACCTCTTCTCTGCTCATCTTTCTCACATAGGAATGGCAGAAGAAGAGGAGGAAACTCCTGATGCTCTTGGACTCTCTATTAGTGGTGTTACAGAATACTATGGTTAGTGCGTAAAGAGCCGAAAGGCTCTAAATGAAGATATATTCTTATTGAAACCTAAATATGGTATGTGCATGGAATATGCTACGAATGACTGAAATCTGGCAACTTCTTCTAAGTTTCTCTAAACCTGTGGGAATATGATAGCCACCATCTCCTCTCCTACAGTCTCCCTCTTGAAGGCTCAGATGCTAAATCTCAGCATCTGGCCTACATGCACTGCTTCCCTCTATTCTTCTTTCTTTTCTCTTGTTTCTCCTCTTTATAAACCTCTGGATCCTAACCATTATGTAACTTAAACTCATCACCTCTCAATAATCTTCCTACTCTGTTCTGTTTTCTCCCTTTGATATTTTGCTTGAGATGGAAAGGAGTCAGTTGTTGAGGCAATCACTCTTTGATCAGGTCCTTTTTATCTCACTTAAGCATCCATTTTCCTTAACATCTTTTATGAAATCTATTGATGTAAAGCACTAAAACCAGATATTGCTCTCTTTAGGGACTCCTTGATGAACAATTCGTTCAGTTGGAGGAGCTGCAAGATGATGCTAACCCAAACTTTGTTGAGGAAGTTGTAACTCTATGCTACCGCGACTCATTGAGATTAATCCTGAACTTAGAGCAAGCATTGTAAGTAAATTCAGAACCTCAAACTCTTTCCCTTCTGTAGTTGTAATGATCACCATTCTAACAAATCAATTTCAGTGCAGAAAGAAGAGCCCTCTAGACTTCAATCAGTTGGATAGCTATATGCTACAGTTCAAGGGAAGTATCTCAAGGTAAAGTCACAAAAGAAAAAAGAATAAGAACAATAATTAATCATAAAGCTAGCTATATTCGCTGTCGGCTTTAATAAAACATGTTTCGTCCTTAATCATGAATGGATGCAGCATTGGAGCAAAAAAGGTGAAAGATCAGTGCACACTTTTTAGGGAATACTGTACGGCTGGAAGTGGAGAAGGGTATTATCTTTTTCTTAACCTCATCACGATTACACTCAGATTAACCTACGAGCATATATGGTAGTTTTTTAATACTGATTCTGATGCCTTCTGTAAACATGTTAAGATGCTTTAGGACTTTCCAGCGACTAAAGAAAGAACATACAGCTCTGAGAAAGAAGTTCGAAGCTTACTTTCAGGTTTATATCTCACTACTCAGTTGACAAAAAGAAGCAAAAAGTTGGGATTTTTACTATAATTTGTGTTGTTTTCTGAGCAGCTGAAAAGGCAAGCTGGTCCGAGTCAAGTTGCAAGTCGTCCCAAGTAAAGAACAATGGGCAAACAAAGGCTAGCACTTCAAACTTTAGTTGTTAAGTTTCCTAGCAAGCTTATGGAAATCATGCATACAAGTTGTTCAAAGCCCCTTATCTTAACATTTTGGTAAATGGAAAGTAAGCAAGTCTTCGCCCTTTTGTACAATCTTTCTCTCCCAATTAGCTGTCTGTCCACCAGCCAAACAATATAGGATGCTTTTGAAATAGCAAGGACCAAATTTAAAAAATGGCACAAGGTTCAAAGTACAATATGTAGACGCATGCATCTCTATAATCCAAGCTGAGTGGTTGTCCAACATCAACGATCATAAGAAAAGATTATACTTGGCAAGCTTAAAGATAGATGTAAATCAGAGTCCAAATATTCCAAAATCTTTAATTTATACCGACTCATTTACTCAAATACGCTCATATAAAATGCTCGGAATATCTGTGGAATGTCGTGTACATTAGAGTACGATGACACCGGAATGATTTTTACAACCATTGTATACAGCTTTTGCTCATGCTTATGGGCAAAATGTAGCTTCCTACACTTGAGAGCATGTTCTTTTCCAGCATCATTACAGGGTTTATCTTTCTACGCACCTTTAAGGTACAGAAGAGTACAATTTACAAGATTGTTTCACCTGGCCGAGGAATGCACAAGCGCAACATCTAATGCAATGCCCTTCCCGGTTCGCACTTCCAAGTTGTAACAGCAGTTCCGCAACTAATCACATGAAACCTCGTCCAGCATGTCCAGGAAACCTTTCTTTGATGTCTTTTGAAGAGCTTGATCAAAACGATATGGATTGGCTGATGCTGCTTCAAATTTCAGCCAGAGTTCTTTTTTAAGAGTCTCTTCGCCAGCACGTTTGCCAACCCGAAATACACTTTCACATTCCTTCAACATGGGAGTGCTATCTATGTGCGGCAAGCTGACCCCAACTGGACCTTTATGTAAATTTTTTTAGTCAGAAACGTATCACAAATCATAGGCCAAACGCGATATTGATATAATCAAAATTATCTATAATTAAACAGAATCTAAACTGATTCATGAGCAGGGACGAGTGGTAATTGAAAAAAGAATAATACCTTCGTCGCCGAAAGATTTCTTGGCTTCCTGACATCCGTAACAAGCAGCACTTTTCACTGAATGAAAATCAGACGGCTCCAGTAAAACACATGTTTTTGGAGGTGACATAAACCAGTCTGGTGAGGCTTCAACCTCCTTTCTAATTTCTAATTTGTGAGCCTGTTGAATTCCCAAGAGTTCTGGGTACTTTAAAGCCAGTCCATCAGAAGCGTCACCGCCAGAGGAGTAATCCTGAACCCCAACGGGAAAAGGTGTGGCCTTATAAACCATTTTTTTGTCTTTATGTGATGACTCAGAAATGGGTTCGAGCAGCACACAAGATTTTGGAGGCGACATTTTTAAGCAGGGAGTCATAACTAGCATAGAGCAATTTTTCTTTGATAACATAGGTGGGGAAGCAAATCCACGCTGATGAGTTATCTCAACTTGTGCTATATCAGACCCAGAAGGCTCAACACCACTAAGCACAATTCCACTACCTTCTAACAAATTCTCCCCCAGTTTAGTTAAATTAGACCCAGATGGCTTACCAGTACTTGGCGCAATTCCATTACCTTCAAGCAGATTCTCCCCTAGTGTTGTTAAATCAGGACCAGAAGGCTTACCAGGCTCAAGTATTTTACCTTCAAGTTCATTCTCGTTTAAATCTGCACATGCAACAAAACATGGTTGTGCGCCCTCGAGTATGCTCGAAGTCATTCCACTAAGTGCAGATTTATAATATTTCACATGTTTAGATGAGAGTGATTTAGAAATAGGAAGAGGTGTGAGTAAAAACAATTGTCTTCCTCTCTCAATATTGCATCCAGCACGCCATGATACGAGGGGTGAAGGAGAGATCAGATCTCGAACTTCAGCTTGGCCTGGGCTGTCAATAACACTGTTTTCCGTATCGTTAACCATCACATTGCTTTCACTAGACAAGGGTTGTTCTATATCACCATCAATACCTTTTGATGGAGACGAGAGCACCTTCTGAAGTCTGGGAACCCATGGCTGGATTTAAGATAATTATCCCACACGAGCTATCAGGATGAATGGAGTTGCAAAATAAAGTCGGTTAATGAAAATTGAAAAATTACCTTCAAAGAAGATAGCATATCAGATAAGATATGAGTGAAAGATTCGATCTGTTTCCTCCCTTGTTTGCCCATTTCCTTCAGTTCAAATGCTTTCACAACAAGTTCATCAATCTGCCAATCCAGTACGGTAAGATGAAACTATGCAACAAAATAAACAGAAGAACCAACCAACTACCACACGGATTATAGAGAATCTTAAAATAGGTGCAATTGTGTACCGCCCAGTTTAAGAACACACACTTACCTTTAAGTTCATTAATTCCTAGAATTCATATGTACGTAATCTACCCTTCTAAACTTATGTGTTGTTCCTTATTACCTAGGAGAGAACAAAGTCTTGAAGAAACAAGTTCATTGTTTGTTCCTGATGAACTACTTAATTTTCTTGAAGAAAGTGTTGATAAACCCAGAAACCAATGGTTTTCTATGCTGCAAAGAATTAACTTTATATGATTTTGACATCCAATTTTCCTCTCAGGCCGGCTAATATAATATATTCGTGCAACTCTTAAGAAAAAGAAGGGAAAAAAAAAAAAAAAAGAATACAAGACTTGCCAGTATCAAACACCCAAACATAGACACTACGGAATATTAACTGCATTGGTTAAGATCCAAGCGAAGCTTGAAATTAGAGTTCAATTAACTCCAATGAAGAGATAAATCCGGCTGCTTCTATGCCCTGTCTAATTCACTTCCGTTCTCCCCAATTTTGAAACAGAAATCAACCCAAACGAAACACCATTATGAAACTAATCCACACATGAAAATCAAGATGAACAGAACAAAAGTTTCGTAGATAGTTGAATCAGAGCGAACACCAATTCTCGAAAAGGAGGCTAGTTCGAGAGAGATACCTGATTAGTGAACGCTGAGAGATCGGACTGAACCAGAAGGAGACGATCGAGAGAATCATCTTGCTCTTCAACCTTAGACATGTAATCATCTTCCTTTCTCTTGGCTGTAGCGACAGATTTGGAGGAAGTTCGGCCGTATTTTTGGTTCGATACATCCCTCAGTGGCTTCTTCCCTGATTTCCCCCTCATCGGCATCCTAATCGCCGCCGGAAGCCTCCCCTTAGGAAACCTGCAAAATTTTCTCTCTCCCACTTTTTGAATCTCTCCAATGGCGGGCTTTTACGTGCCTGTAGTTGTACAACGTTCCAGAATCTACGATGAAAGCTTCATTAGTGCAAAATGGAATGGGCCAACGCACTCAATTGGGCTTTGTTGAAAGCCCATTTCTATTTTAGAAAAAAGAGTTTTTACATGAAAAAAAAAAAAAAAATTATAAGTTAGTAAATTTTGAGTTTTACGTATGGTTCATGAATTTGAATTTTATATCTATTAGGCTGGAGACAAATTTAAAATTTAAAAAAAAAAACTGAATTTTACTGTCAATTTTATGGAATTAGATAAATGTTGGAATTGTTTTCTGAGATGGGAACCAGAAACTTTGTTGGCACATTATTCTTTCCTTGCCTTCCCCCATCTGTGCCTTTTATTTTGTGTTCTTCCAAAGCAAAAGCAAAAGCAAGAGAAGTAATATACATCCCAACACTATTACACTTCAAATTGTAGCGTTTCCTACTCCTGATGGCAGGCAGACATCCAACAAAATAAATGCACTTGTTGTGGCCTTTAGAAAGTGAGAGGAAGAGTATTCAACACCGTAGCCCCATCCAGGAACATGACTTTACTGCGTGCATTCTCGAGCGAGGCGCTGCTCTGCAGGAAGATGAACGAGGGGAGAGGCTAAATGGGCAAAAGTAGACGGCCCAACTATCTTATCTTCCTTGGACAAGACCACTAAAAACTTGGCTGTTACCAGCTAGAGTCGCTTCCCACTCTATTGAAGACAGTAGGATCTGTGACAACGATATTACCACTTCCTTCATGTCCGGTCGTAACATGGGATCCTCATCCACACACTGCTTTCCCAACATCGCCACCTACCACAAACACAAGTGTACCAAACACATCATCCTAAATATACAAATCACCATCCACAATCAAACACCGACAGAAACGTGTTTGAATGTTGAAGTTTCGTCCGCTTTACTGATAGAAGAACTCAGAATGAATGTACCTTGAATAGACAGTCATGGGGATACAAATCCATCATACTTGGATCAACTTGATCTTTTAGACTTCCCATATTCATAGGATCGGGTGTGTTACGAAGAACACCTAGCATCTGCATAATGCATCAAAAGGTTAGCACCAAATGCACATACTTCTACACAAAACATTTATCTCCAAACTAGCATATATCCAGCATCATAAAACTTACAATGGATGCCAACGAACGTCTTTCAGGATTTTTCAAAGTCGTGCCCTCAGTTCGTATGATTGCCTCCTTTCCAGATATAAGCTCAAAAATAACAACACCGTAAGCATACACGTCGCTTTTAGTTGTGGCAAGTCCGTTACTCAAATATCTACAACAAGTGAGGGTTAGAGAAAGAAACAGTTCAAAAAGATATTGTCAAGAAATATACATCCTTCAAATTCTCATCACTTACTCGGGAGCCAGATAGCCATATGTACCCACAACTTTCGTTACTGTAGCTTCACCCTCATTGGTTCTTCCAACAAGTTTGGCCAACCCAAAGTCAGAAATCTAAGCATAGAAGGAGAGCAGGATTTCAGTGGAAGCTTCTTTGCCTAATTCAACAGAAAGAACTAGTAGGGTGCTTTAAATATCACCTTCGCCCTAAATGAACCATCAAGTAAGATGTTGCTTGTCTTGATATCTCTATGGACATAATGAGGTTTAGTGTGCTCGTGAATGTATTCGAGACCTCTCGCAACGTCCAAAGAAATTTGGAGTCTCATAATCCAAGAGAGTGATGTATGGCCTGTAATTAGGAGACTAACATGAATAGTAAGTGCCATGATTCATATGCACGAGGCACAGCTGCTCTCCATAAAGCGCAGTCGTCACACGATGACAAGCGGCATGATTTACTTTTTCACATAAACTAAACAGATAGTCTTACAAGATCTAAGGAAATAGTGAAATTCACAAAAGATAAAAGCTTTAGGGAATGATTTGATTAATGGAGTGAAAATGCAATCTTACCCTTGTTCAGAGGATCATGTAAATGACTTTTGAGTGGACCTTTTTGAGCATATTCCTAAATTAGAAAGAGCTCCGCCTCACTGGCTGCATAACCAATCAATTCTACCTTGAAAAAAAGAAAACCAAGCAAAAGTCAAGGTTTCAAATTGTAACCTAGTGGAAATAAATACATCAGCATTCATGAAAAATAGAAGATTACCAGGTTTGCATGATGAACCTTGCAGAGGACTTTCATCTCTGCCAGAAACTCTTTAGTTTTTGTTGCAGTCATTCTCTTTATAGCAACTTCCTAAAACGTCAGATTCGTTGCGTTAGGCAACCAACAAAACCGATATCCTTAATCCAGTAGTATGCCTTGAAGATGTCAGGGTAGATAACCACAAACCTGGTCACGCAGGATGCCATGATACACTGAACCATAAGTTCCATGGCCAAGCAGACTCGACTCGGAGAAACCATCGGTCGTGGAAAATATTTCTTCGCAGGAGAAAACCACAGGTTTGTCTACATTGAATACATTGCTCTCAATAGCTTCATGAAAGAAGATTCAAGTAACAGTTAGACATCAATCGAGTAATTTAGCAAACAAAGGTTGAAGCAACTAAAGTATAATGAATTGCTTGCATAGGCTATTAACTGTGCTTCTAATTACCTTTTGGAATTGCACTCTGGTTATCGCTCGACTCCCTGCTGGGTTGTTTCCAATCTGCAGAACTACAGCAAATATACCTTCCTGAAGCACAGCAGAAACTTGACTTCCCAAGAATATGGAACTTGTGTGAAACCTTGGCACCAGGATCCTTGGAGTGGCTACTCCTTAATCTAGAAAAGCATTTCGACCACCTACAACAAGCATAACCTCCTATGCCTAATAAAATCAGAACAAGAATAATTCCCAAACTCCCAACAATCCATATATAAGGAGGATGACGCTTGGAGTTCTCAGCATTATCTGCAATTCATAATGCAATAGGGTTACAATTTTTCTTAAGTTCATAACAAAAGTAGGCAGTGATCAGAACTCAGAAGTTGAATGTAAGGCCAATACTGAGGGGAAGGATTTCATAATAGTGATCAAATTGAAAAATAAGCAGCAGCAAACAAAGAACACGTGGAAACAGACAACCTAAAGGATCTAGAAGAACTGCAGTGCTTCCTCCCAAATAGAAGTTCTACACGAATTTCATATAAAAAATCATTTCTGAAAGATCGCTAGATATAACCTTCAATTTAAGTCAGTAGATTTGACTTAACTCAAAAACAAAGGACCACCAAGTTTAATATTGTTCCCAGACACAATTACATCAACTAGTTGACTTTAAGGACGATTTCCTAAAAGTATGCAAGAAGCAAGGACATGTTGTCTGAATGAGAAGTGTCAAAGCAAAGTTCTTCATATCCACCTGAGAAATTGTTGAGAGAATAGGAAGGAGCAGGAGTAGGAGCAGGAGAAATGTGCGTCTCCAATGGATAAGGATCACCAGGAACTACAAAAATTCACAAGTTAAACGAAAAATGGCAATGGAAATCATAACTCAATAAAATTACTTTGATAAAAGAAACACGAACCCGAATTCAGGGGAATATAATACAAAGCGCCCACAGTGACATTGCTGGGATTTTGAATTCCATTCACCGACTCAATGCTATCCATACTGACCCCAAATCGGCTAGCCAAAGACTGAATGGTATCGCCATCTGTCATCACATAGCTCATCAAATAGTTCCACAGCCCACTTGAACAGGCACAAAACAGCCGCAAAGACACAACAGCGCCGTTCCTCGCCATTCGGGTGGTGTTGGGCAACAGCGCAAGCCCATCATACGCTTCCAAGACTATGTCATACACAAAACCCCGATTCGATTTGATGGTAAAAGTGGTATTGGTGATGTATTTCTTCAATCCAGAGGCACAGGAGCAATTCTTCCTGATGAACACATAGTCCCGGCCATTGCCTTCGACAGTGACATCTTCAGGCAATACGTCGAACATACTCTGGATCACAGAAAGCGTCTGATTTGGCTGAGGCTTGAAAGCCAGAAACGAGGTGCATAGACGGGTTGTATCCGTACAAGTTAAGGGCGAGGGAGATGAGGAACAGAGGGAATGATGTTGAAGAAGAACGGAGAAGTAGAGAAGGAAGAACGAAGTGCGAATTCGCACAGGATTCATGGACGAAAACATAGAATTCCAGGTCCAAACTTAGGGGGATAAAGATAGTGAGTTGGACAGTGAAGAACAGAAAGTAGTGGCAGACAAAGGTCGATCAAAATTCAAGGCACACCCATACAGAAAAGGAAAAAACAGTATGTGGGTAAGTCAGAAAATGAAACCCAATACAGAAGCAAGCAGGAAAATCATAATCTTTATACAAGCCAACTAAAAAGCAGAGAGGACTGGGAAGTTGAATGAATGAATGAATAAAGTGAAGACTTGGAGGAGAAAAGAATTGAAAGGAGAAGAGGTGGAAAGAAAATGGAAAAAGAAGAATGATGGGGTTAGGGAGGAAGAACAGAGGAAAGAAGTGAAAAAAGGGCAGAAACAGAGCAGTTGTGGAAGGCAAGAAGGAAGAGGGTTTCTTTTGCTTTTTCTTTTGTACAGAGTATGTAAATGGGGTGCCATGCCAGTGGGGGCAGGGAGAAGAGCTGGCGAAAGAAAGACGACAGTTGGGAATGGGCCCCGCAAACGAGTCACCGATCTGTCGTCTTGGACCCAATCACTTGTCAATCCTCACCCCTAACCCTAACCCTAAAGTCCACTTCACTTCTACCCTTAGATTATTAACTAACCGCCATTCACCAGTCCTGAAAATTTGTTTGAATAAGGTTAGAATTTTTACCCACAAATACAAATATTAAATAATGATATTTACACGTCATTGTCATGGTAATTGTCACTGGAGCTTAACTAATTATTGAGGAATTTAAAATGTGGTTAACTTTGTGGATAATAATTCAAATAATAAAGGCAAATTTTCCGTAGGTATATAGTGGCCAGGTAGTACCAAATTATATTCCAAAAGAGGGAAAAGATAAATAAAGCGTATTGAGAGAATTGACCGGGTGGCCCGCACGTGGACTACAGACAACTGTAAAATTACGTTTTCGCTGCGGACTTACTTGACGTGCAATAAGCTTCCAAGGGTTAAAATAATAATTTCAATTTTTTAACGTAACACTAATAATTACCAATAATTGGCTTAATGTTGCTCATTATTTTATGTTATTAATAATTCTTTCTGGGTATATATATTTTTACTAACCCACCATTAATCATTGCTCTTCGAATAATATATGTTTCAATAACGTGCATGTGTAGACAAATATTATAATTAATAATTTAGTTTTGTGTGTATATATATATATATAAGAGATGTAAAAAGGGCAAAAGATATGGTAATATGTGGATAATAAAGACAAGGGATGGTGTCTTTTTCTTGTCTGTCTGGACAAAATTGTGAATCAAAATTTGTGGAACATTGGGTGAGTGTTTTCCTTTTCTTTTTTTTTTTTTTCCCATACGGGAAATGTTCTTTGTCGGCTTGCACTTGTTTTTCCCTTATATAAAACAATTTACCTTTTATCATATAATATTTTCTAACTATAACTAATACAAAAAAAAATCTAAACTAATATCGGTATTAATTTATCCCTCAACTTTTATGACCATATTAATTTACACTATCTCTCATATTTCGTTCAAAAAATGGTAATTTAACCTCAAAGGTATAATAATAATTACATTTTTAAAGTGGTAAAATTAATTATTTTTAAGTTAGTAAGTGATTAATGAATATTAACCAACTAAGTTCGAATTGTTGATGGGAGCATTTCTAGTGGCCCATTTGGTTGTATTGAAGCCCAATGCCCCTTCCCTTTCTAGTGGGCCAAACAATTAAGGCCCATACTTCATGGGCCAATTTTAGATTTTTTTTTTTTTTTTTTTTTAATTATGCTTGATGTTCATAATTTCTTTAATTGTGCCATAAGCTTTAATGATTTACCACATTAAAAATTAATATAATAATTAATCAATCAAACGAAGTATTTTTTCTTCCTTCTTCCTCTTTTGAATTCTTTTATTTTTTTGGTTTTTTTTTTTAATTTAAAATTCTGTTTTTTGGAATAGGAAATTATATATATATTTGAAACAAGTCTATAAAGATAATGATTGGGCAATGTGTGACCCAAACAGCTTTTGGCTTTTGGCAGATGATATAAAATTAATACGAAAAATTAAAAAAGCTTATAATAAGGCATGTGGGCTTTGCCTTTATGGGAGGGTGCCCCAAATGAGAGTGGTTGTAGGACATTTCCAGGAATATTAATGCCTTTTGCATATAATACATAATTTCATATTTTTTTTAATGTTAAAATCATAAAATATTTTTAATTAATTTTTTTATATTATTATATTCAATATACTACCTTGAGATCTTATAAACTTATAAAAACACAGTTAATATGGACCACGATCTCATTCTCCCATAATGACTTTATTGTGATTATTACATATCTAATACATTATTTAATCATAAATATATATATATATTCTTCAAAAAATTAATTAAATAATAAAAAGAAGACTGGGGCAGTTGAGATTGGGGATGCTTACAATAAAATGCACATAATCATGAACTATGCAATTTTCAATTATAATTTGTTATTACTTTTAAGCATTTCATCTTTTTTTTTTCTTCTTTATCCAATTCTTTTGGTAAACAAAGAAGATTCTTATAAATTTTTTATTTGCCTAAATATTCATTAACTCAGTGTAATCATACTACCATTCTTCATTCGCCTAAATTTTTATACTTTAATGAGAGATCCCACGTTGGTTGGAAAGAGAACGCAACCTTTTTTTATAAGATTGTAGAAATCTCTCGTTAGTAGTCACGTTTTAAAAACTAGGAAAACATGAAAGAAAATCTCAAAGAGAACAATATTTGTTAACAGTGGGCTTTAAGTGGTTACAAATGGTATCAGAGCCAGACATTAGGTGAGAATGTAGAGCTCTAAAAGGGGTGGACATGGGGTGGTGTGCAAGCGAGGACGCTGGACTCCGAAAGGGGGTGGATTGTGAGATCCCGCATCAGTTGAAAAGAGAATTGGAGTAGACATACCTTTCCTTAGCAAACATGTTTTAAAAACTTTGAGAGGAAGATGGAAAGAAAAAGTGAAAGAGGAATCTAGATATATTTTGTAGTGAGTGAATGTTTGAAGCTCTTACCTTGTGTCCAATCATGTAATGTCATAAATAGTTGAGTTATACGATGATGATGGATGTGTGTGTATGTATATATATATATATATATAATATTTAGGGGAAAGTGGGGATTGATAGAGCATATAAAGTGTATGTATATATGAATAATGGTACCTATCACTTCCAATTCCGAGCATAACGGCTTTTTTTCTTTTCCATAAGGAAGAAGGAAGGAAGGAAGGACAAAGAAGATAGATGATGTGAAAGCCATTAGCCATCTCCATTGTATTTCATCAACTTTTTTTTTTCTTTGTTTTTGTACCCATTAGTTTATTTTTCATTTTATATATAATTGAGCGTCTTTATCTCATGCCCATTCGATTAGTAAGAACGAGAGAGTTGATTGTTGGAAATTGTTGGTCGAAGAAAATCAAATAAAAAAAACTAACGAGGTACCCATTTGAAAAAAGGATATGAAGAACATGATTACCCTTTATTTCCTCAATTCCTTTGCACCTTTTTAACTTCCAATCTCATGCCTGTAATACAACAATCTTAAAAAGTTGGAGAAACTTAATACATTTAATATTAATCGACTGCTTTAAATAAAACACATTTAAGTAAGAAGTAAAAGAAAGTGCAATAAAAATGAGGAAACTTGAGAAGTAAATTATTTGAATTATCATTAACCATTTTTTAAAATGATTGGAGGATGGATCCCACCTTATTATTACTTTATAATTGATGAATAAATATTGGGCAAAATAGCGGCGCCTGCTTTTATGAGCAAAAACAAAAAAAAATGAAAGAGAAAGATAAGAATAACATAAGTGGGAAACATTATAATTATAGTAATAATACTAATACTCTTATACTTTTGATTAAAATGTTAAAACGATTAATAATAATAATAATAATGAAGTGAATGAAAGGAAATTATGGGATGGAATATGTGGAGGAAAGAAAAAAAAATGATTGTGAAGAATCAAACCGTTGGGATGAACCCAAATCCATGAAGTAAAAAAGGTTGGATGGTTTGATTTGATTTGACTTCTTGTCTTACTTACATCAACTTCTTCTACTCTAGTAACGCACACACCGAATCATTACCCATCTGATTTAACCTTCTCCCCACGCCTTGCTTCCTCATCACCGTCCATTCCCTTCTTCTTACAAAAATAGTTTAATTTTTTTAGATTAATGTAGGTTAAGTGACATGGTACATCTTTTATCCACCTAATTTAGAATTTAAAGGTGACGTGTAAAGTTGAAGGCACGCGAGTATAAGAAAAAGGCGAAGGAAAGTGGCAAGTTAAAAAGGCAAAGGGGGTGAGTGGGGGTTGTAGTACGGCCGCGTCAAATCGCATAATAAATAAGAATTTTCAATTTATATACATATTGACGTGGCATAAGGCAATTATAAGATGACAATAATTGTTGCTGACTTGGCGTTCTGAAGGCATCCATCCTCGGGCATGTTGGATGCTCGGAGGTGAGAGAGTGAGATAAATCAAATCGACAGGAGTCCAAGTATGATTGGGTTTGAAGGCTCTGCCAATTTGAGAGTTTGAAATAATAATGGATACAGATTTATTTAAGGGTTTAATAAACTCCTATTTGATTTGAAATTATAAGAATGTGTTGTTGAGTTGAAGCTAATTCAAGATTGATGGAGTGTTTCCCCACAAAAGCAGGCATGTTGGGTAATGGTTGGGTTGTTGTGCAAGTTACGGTAATCCCTTGTTTCTTTGTTTTGTTCTTCTTCTCTTGCTGGTTACTGGCATTGCATAGGGAGACAAGAGAAAGAAAGAAACTTTTGGGTAGAGAGAGATGAGGAGAGTATCTTTTTAGCACGCTTTGCTTCCTGAGCTGAGTAACCCACCAATATATATTTTTGTTTTTTCATGTCTTGATTGGGTGAATAATAATGCTCTCTATATACTGTTCCCTCTTTTGGGTTCTTTTGCTCCTCAAATACATTCTCCTCCTTCAATCTCCTTTCATCTTCCTCTTCTCTCCTTCTCCTTCTTCTTCTTCATTATATATATATATATATATATATATATCCTCTTCAACCCTTTGCTTCGCTGCCTATTTTCATTCTCTTCTCGTCTTTCTTTCCACGATTTGAGATCCGGGTCCTCTTTTTTATCATCTCTTCTTCAAGATTTCACCAGGTAATTGGGGTATTTCGTGTTATCTTTTTGTTTCTTTATTTGGGTTCTGTTTTAGTCTTTCAACTAATAACTGCCTCTGTTTCTTACCTCTTCTCTCCTTCTCCAACTCAGTTTTCTTTCCTATTTTCTCGACCAATTTCATTCACAAAGGATACCAATTCGTATTTCCTGATTTCTCCCATCTGGGTTTCCTCAAAAACCCCCAAATCTTTCAATGGAGATGAATGGGTGTTCTGAGAAAGACGAGGATTGTCCTCAGCTGTTGGATTTGATCCCCAAACACCGCCAATGGCTTTCCGCCGTAGATGTCGCCGGAAAAACGCAAAGCTCCGACGACAAGAAGCTTGAGCTGAGGCTTGGCCTGCCTGGAGATGCCGACTGGTCCCGCAAAGAAAGAAATGACTCTCTTCTCTCTTTTGGCCATTTTCCCACTTCTTCAAAATTTTCTCCCTCTGAGAATCCGTGGCCGTCGTCTGCAAATTTCCTTGGAAAGCTTCAACCCAACAAATTTTCAGTGTTTTGTTCTAAAATGGGAGATTTACAAAATGCTGAAGCTAAATCATTTCCTTCCTCTGCTAACACACCTGTTTCTAACACTTCTCAGAAAAGGTACACCCTCTCTTTCGCTTGGTGTTTAGTATTATTTTCATGGCTGTTGAAACTCGAAGCATGTGTAAAAAGGACAAAGGGTCATCTTATGACAGGCTTGTGTTCTTGTGGTCCATGTCCTGTCCTTGCATCTTTTTTAATCCTTTCCACTTGGTAATTGAAAAATGGGTCTAATCTTATCTTTCCTTTCCTTTGTCTGTTTGTTTTTTGGCATTAGTCTTAATCAAAGCTTCCCTTAACAAGAATCTTTTTTTAGCTAACTTTTGTTTCAATTTCTGAATTTAGATAAGTGAATGAATTTGGGTTGTAAGGGTCAAGTTGATGAACAGCTTTTAGTGTTGATTAACAGTAAGAATTAGGTAGTGAAATACACTAATAAGAATTGCGTAACTGTGTGAACAAATACAAAGGACTGCGCCTGCTCCAGTTGTGGGATGGCCACCAATTCGATCCTCGAGAAGAAACCTCAGAAGCAGCAGCTTTGAGAAGCCTGCAGTGGAGTCCTCGGATGCCGCCCCGAGCAAGCTCCCGGCTCCCCGGGAAAAACGGGTCGAAGCTGGTGGGAAGGGACTGTTTGTGAAGATCAATATGGATGGAGTTCCCATTGGTAGGAAGATAGATCTCAATGCCTATGACAACTATCAAAAGCTTTCGTGTGCTGTTGATGAACTGTTCCGAGCCTTACTTGCCGGTAATCTCCACAAGAATTGTTCAAACTTTCCTATTAGTTTCATTCAGAGATTCGTCTTCTGAAATTTGTTGGTGTGCGTGCAGCTCAAAGAGATTCGTCAGGCAGTGGCGTGTTGAAGAAGCAAGAAGAAGAGAAACCAATCACGGGTTTGCTGGATGGAAGTGGAGAATATACGCTTGTTTATGAGGACAACGAAGGCGACAGAGTTCTTGTTGGCGATGTGCCGTGGCAGTAAGCATAACTCTCTGCACATCCTTTTATTAGCATTACATAACAGTAGAAGTGTTTTGTAATCTCCTGTCCTTGTGTCGCAGAATGTTCATTTCCACGGTGAAGAGGCTGCGCGTGCTGAAGAGCTCTGAATTGCCAGCGTTGAGTGGTGAGTTGAAACACAACCAAACCAACATTCTTGTTTATTTCCTGATTTGATGCCATCGCTTTTCATTAAACACACACCGGATTTGTTTGATTGCAGTGCTTGGTTCGAGGCCGCAGAAGAGAAGTTAAGTTGTAAGGTGAAGGTTTAGAGAAGATAGAATCACTCATGCTTTAATCATCATCCCCATACACTAATGGGGTTATGCTTTTCATTTTGTAATTTCTGAAATTAATTGCAATGTAAAATCCAATCAAATCGCCTAAATTAGCCGCTCATTTGGTGTTCTAATATAAATTCCTTAATAAGATAAGATTAATCACTAAGATAACTACCAACAAAAGTTCAGGTCAACTTACTTTAAAAATGAATCGATTCCATTTTATGGGGAAGAGTTAAAACGCGAACTTTCGAGACGTAGTCGTGTAGGATGTATTATTCGAAATGAATGAGTAAGTGTAGTATTTGAAAAGGGTTTTTGAGTTGGGAGAAGGAGGAGGGCATTAGGGACATGGTTAGAAGAAGGGCATATGGAATGGGAACAAAGGGATGTGGTGGCATCCATCAGTTGTGTCACTGTCATTGAGAACTGGCCTAACTTTGGGCCCAAAAACTGACCAACAAGTCTACTCCTTTTCTGTTCACAATGAGTGGTTAGGGGTGGGAACATTTCTTACTTTACGCTTTGACAACAACATTGCATCCTTCGTTTCAGATAGAATAAGGACTGTGATTAATATGTGGCCGACCACGCCAACCCTTGGGTCGGTCTTGGCCTCAAGCTCATGTCGACCATGACCGTTGGTTCTCTTTTTGTTTGATTCACTATCAAAGCGTCTCCTATCTTAATATAGAATAGTAGTAATTGGGAATGTTTTTGGAAGGTTATTGCACACGAGGAGGATGGGCAACATAATGCAAATTGGGGTCAAAACCTATGAATCTACCTTCCTATATCACTCAATTATTAGCATTACCATAACTCTAAATTGATGATGTTTTAAATAATTCCTACACTAATGTAAATGTCCTACAGTTTAGTATTCAATATCATTGAAATCAATTTTCTTTTTAGATCATAATTTCCTCATTAAATAATATTATTTTTTTAATTTGGTCAAATTTTCACTCTTTCTATTCGAATAATCATCTTAGCTGTCGTACTCCAATGATGTAGCTCTAATTTAATGCGAATTTACCTTACTCCAGCTGATGCCCCCCTAAAAAAATGGGCTACACCGAACACATTGGGCCTATAGTATCATTATGATGTGCGTGATCAAGTGTGCCCTATTTGGTCCCCTAATCCAACGACCCAAACTCAATTATTGACTTTGATTGTCTGAAAAAATTTGGTTTTTTTTTTTAAAAAAAAAAAAGAAAAGAAAAGAAGAAACTATAGGTTGGTTATAGATATGAATGAAATAGCGAAGTATTATTGGTTTGTGAATTATTGAGTTGAATAATGGATGAGTTAGATGCGTATTAATATTATGATTTAATTTAGGGTAATATGATTAGAGTCAAAATGAAGAAGAGACAAAGTAGAAACGAGTCAAAAGAAGGAGGGCAGTACAATTATAGTGAAACTCTCTGTAATTCTTTTACTGTCTTTGACTCAATTTTCTCTCTCTCCGATTAATTTCCAACGGAGGAGGAGGAGGAGGAGGAGGAGGAGGAGGAGGAGGAGGAGGATGAGGAAGAGGAGGAGGAGGAGGGTATTCAAAAGGCAATATGATATCCACACACAACACAACAAAAAAGAGAAGAATCTCACCAAATCAGAATGGGAAAGGCGATGAGATTGTTGAGGGCCTTATTGGGAATGAAGAGAGACAAGAATGCCGATCACAATTCATGTTTACCAGCCGATGGTGAAATCAAAGAGAGGAATCGGTGCAGTTTTTCAAAGTCCGGGAAGGAATTCACCGGAGAAGTTCAGAAGCTGCCACCGTCGCCGAGAATGGCGGATGCTGATTGCCAGAGATCTTATCCTGCAGAGGAACACCGCAATGAGCATGCGATCGCTGTCGCAGCAGCATCGGCTGCTGCTGCTGATGCTGCTGTGGCGGCGGCTCAAGCGGCGGTGGCTGTTGTTATGCTTACCAACCAAACTAGAGGAGGTGGTTTGTTCAATGGAGGGAAACTGATTTCGGCCGCTCTTACAATTCAAAAGGTTTTCAGAGGCTTTTTGGTAAATCAATCGGTTTCATAATCCTTTTCTCTTCTCCAATTACTATATTTTAAATTATTTGAAATTTGATTGCAGGCGAGGAAGGCACTTCAAGCATTAAGAAGTTTGGTCAAATTACAAGCTTTAGTCAGAGGCTTTCTCGTTCGAAAACGAGCAGCCGCCACATTACAGAGCATGCAAGCTCTAATCCGAGCACAAACCACCGTCCGATCGCAACGAGCTCGTCGTTCAAACAACAAAGAGAACAAATCCCTGCTGGAAAAGTCTCCGGATATCGGCGACGTGAGATTTCTTTTCTCTGACGAAATCGAAGACCCCAAAATCGTGGATATCGACAAACTATTCCAGAAACCCAAATCGAGGTCCCGTCATTTCAACAATCTCCTCTCAGAACTCTCCGACGACCGACCGTCGCCGTACCTCTGGACAATGGCGTCGCCGGCCAGGTTCTCAGGCGGGGAGTGGTGTTTCACCGGCGGAGAGGAGTGCGGGAGGATGTTGACAGCCCAGCGCACGCCGCGTGTGCGGAACTACGGGTGGAAGACTGCGGCGGCGACAGCGACGCCGGCAAGGGTGGAGTACGGCGAAGGGTTTTTCCGTCAGTATACGAATTTTCCGAATTATATGGCGAGTACGAAATCGTTTAAGGCGAAATCGAGGTCGCGAAGCGCGCCGAAACAGAGGGCGGAGGGTTGGACGAAGAACAGAGTGGCGTTGAATGAGATTATGGGAGGCAGGAACAGCACCGGCGGCGTGAGAATGCAGAAATGTTGTCATCGGATTGAAGGAGATGAAGGGTTCGATGAGTTCTGATTTTTGTTGAGACAAGTTTGGAAGATTGAATCAGAGTGATCCTGTAAGTTCATAATTTCTCCATCAATTTCTTACTTTTGTTTTGTTTCTTTTACATAAATGACAAAAATCATGTATGTTCGTTTTTTTGTTCATCTAAATTTAGCCTTACTTTTACTACTCACTCATATTCACATTTGAATTTGATTCACAAGTTTCATAGGTTTGAATTTGAATTACAGATTTGCCCTGTCTATTAACCTTCATCCATTCATGTTCAAGCTAAAGGTGAAGAAGATGAAGAAGAAGAAGAATTGAGGATGATGATGATGACCACTTGATCAGCAAAATGGAAAACAATTTGAAATCTCTAAACCCATTGCTCATCAATTCATTTATGATGTAGAAGAAGAGTACTAATTTTCCAGTTTCTACGCGTATGAATTCTGTACCCAGTTGTGTTATTAACATTCATTCCTCCTCTTACAACTAACATCTGAACTCCATAATAGTTTAGATCAATATCAATCATTCCCCTATTGTACAACCAAAATTCCCAACAAAAATGGGCCAATTTAATGCTGTAAACCTACTACTCAGACATCATATACAGAAATGGAAAGCTATCACAACCAACCAACCAACCAAATCACTGCCTCTCATAACCGGGACAAGAGACAGAGATCTTCTTGGATGACGATGATGCCTTCTTAAAACTGGGAGCCTTGGGAAGAGTATAAGCAGCACATTTGTGGGTGTCCAACCCTCCTGCATAGCTCTTACATCCGCTCAATCTACTGCTGTAAGGGCTTCTCTTCTTCGGAAGGTCTTCTATGCTTCTTACGCTTGATAGCGATGTAAACGACTGGGATTTCCCTTCATAGAACATGGACAGTCCTCTCCTACACAAACAAACAGTGGTTGGCGTTACAAATTTGAACTCTTTTATGGAGGGAAAGGGAATTGGAAGCATCGCATCAACACGACAACACTTACTTGATCGGGAGTTGGGCAAAAAGCTCTGTAAAATCCTCCAACGCTCCAATGGATGGAGATGAAGAATTTGAAGTGGATGAACACGCATCATCCGACGAATTGCTTGAATCTTCGAAGGAAGATGTGGAAGAGGCAAGGTTGTAGTGATACTCACCGCCCTTGCCCCATTGATCTTCCGACTCTTCATGGAACCCTTGGCACAGAGCAACAGAACAAGGTTGATGAAGGAATCCACCCATATTCAAGCAGAAAGATGAAGAACAGCAGCAACACAAATAGAGAGAAACAGAGAAAAAAAACCAGAAATTGATAGAGGATGCTTTGATGGGATAAGCTTTTGATGTATTTATATTATAACCCCTTCAACATAAACAGCATTTGAGTCTTATCACATTTCTTGTGGAACATTTATAGGCAGCAAGAGAAAATTCCAAGCTGTTGCTTTTTATTTTTTTTATTTTAAATAAATAAAATTAAAAATAAACAGGGGAATTGGTGGTCTCGCATGAAAAGGCATAGAATTCCCAAACAACCAAAGACCCAAAAGCAAAAATGTCAACCATGAGGCATGAAAGCACATAAACTCTATACACTTCCATCAAATTCCAATTCCATGTCCATATCTTAAAATTTAGTTTTTATAATTTTAAATGTTGGGATCAGTAGATAATCTATATAATATATATAGTAGAAGCACAAAATTCTAACGGAGGAACTAAATTCTGACTTTCTCCAAACTCTAGAAATAGACTCGTTTTCATAAGATTCTTCCTTATCTTGTGAGGGTATGGTGGCATGGTATGAAAAGGAATAGATTGAGGTTTGAAAAGGAATAGATTGAGGTTTGAAAAGTAAGGGATAAGCTCAAAAAAAGATAAGAGATAAGCATCCATCAATCCATTGGAAAAAGGGTCGCTATCATCCTTCATTTCATATGAAATTTTGAAGAGAGAAGGTTTGGTCAAAAAGAAGAACACATGGGTAGTAGATGGATGCGCATGCACATTTGGTTGGTGGGGGAACCACCATTTTTCAATTACACAACTAAATTGAATACAAAATATATTATTTTAGTACCCAAAACAAAGCCTTTATAAAAAATAAAGAATAAATATTACTTTTCAAAAAATAAAATACGCCATACTTATGGGTCCCTTTTCGGCTGTTGAAATTTGGAAATATTTTTCTGATAATTTAGAATCACTTTTTATCTTTTTCCCTTTTTCTTGGATAATTTAGAATCATTTTTTTTTATCTTATTATAAAAATTAATATTTTAACACATTTTATAAAATTTAACTCAATAAATATGATTTGCCATCAATATAAAACATATGCAACTCTCTGTTTCTTTCTTTGGTTTTTTATGCTTGTAACTTTTGAGAATATTGTTGTTAAGAACAAAATATATTAGAGAATATCTCGAAGATAATGGTGCCGTAATTTATGCCTTTGATCGTAAACATTGCAGCTGTATAATTCTCCTTATGTATCAAATTCATTGTATTTTGAGTCCAATTTAGAGATTTAATCAATGGTTAATCAGAAGATCAAAATGCTTATCCACATTTTCTTCGTTTAAAACATTATGAACCCTGAAAATGCTCGAAAGAATCAAAACAAGTCTCCAACAAAAACCAGTGGCGATTGCGAACTGATCTTTACGGGATCCAGAAGTCGACCATTGGAAAAACAAACAATCGTGTGTGACATTGTTGTTTAGTAATTCAATGTTGAAAAATCTTTGGTTTGGATTCGATGCGATTCGAGTAACTTAGAATTAAAAGAGGGAGAGGAATGTGATGTAGGGAAGATGATTGTTGAGAAATCAATGGGAGATGAATCACAACTGCCCACCTTCCCTTGAGGATTGGATGTTGCAGGGAAGTCTTTCGGAACAGAGTGCACTGAGATTAGCACTACGCCGATACACACAATCCCTGCTTTGCAACCTCTAATGTTCTAAATCGGAGTCACTGAAGGATAAGATAATTTAGCAGGAACCTGAATCCAAGCAGACGGCGGAAGAACAAGGAGAAATCTGAAAAATAATGCCCTTCTGAATCCCTTGCGGTGGCCTGGTTATATAGAGGCAGAGCCACAGCTAGGGTTTTGAAGATTCATCCTTACACGTTCATAATTACGAAAATGCCATATAACCAAATGGTGCCGTTACATCACATGAATAAATATTTACATTAACATTCACACAAATAAACAAAATAATGCTTCACTAAATTAATAAAAATATTTATAAATTTTATATTCTATCTAAAAAAAGTTTCAATAGGAAGACTAATAAATTTCATATTAACCACCCTATGTTCTTAAAAAAATAAAAAAAAAAAATTGAAAAATGGTCTATGTACTATGAGTATTTTTGAAAGGTAATACTTTTAAAGTTTTTGAATGGAAGCCCTGATCACAAATTTCAATATTTATATCAAAACCAAAACAGGGATACGTGAAATACTTTCAAAAACTCATATGTGAAGTAGTGTATTCGCAAATACACACAAAAATATAAGCCAAAATACATGGAATGGGTAGAAATCAGCGACCAAAATTTACCACACTCCTGCTATTCATCCTGATTCTTCACACTGTTACTTTGTGTAACAACTGAGTTCACAGCTATATATAGCAGGACACCACCTAAAAGTCCCAATTATGAGTAGAAAAGAAGACGAATGAAATTAAGATGAAAATTACATGCCTTGATCAATCAGGTAATCTCCCAACTTCTCGACAATCATGTTGCACTGTCCTGGAGTCATGGGTTCATCATATAACCCAAAAACGAGTGCTTGGTTTGTTTTCTTTACAGTGAGCCCAGAAGTGCCCTGTCAAATGGATGAAAATAAGAAAGATAAACACACAAATCACCCAGAAAAAGCGTTGTTCCAAGAAAGCTTCATCACAAGAGAAGCTGCCACTCATGTTTTGTTGATTTGTTGAAAGAAGTCGACAGCCTATGAAATATATCATCAACATTGAGGATCGATTATAATAACATTCAAAGAGAACCATGGGAAGATTTCAGGTGCCAAGGCGAACCTTCTTTCCACGGATAACAGCTCCAGATTCCCCCTGGATAACCATGTACTTTGATCCAGCAAGGTGCAAACCAGTCGGGGCAAGAGATCCAGGCTCATCAAAATCCTTCATAATGGCAGACATCTCTTCAGGCTTGAACTACAATAATCGCCCAAAGAAGACAAATATTTATTCGTCCGAGATACTACTACTAGCCAACAACATTGCGAATACGAACTTACCAATCACTTAACAATAAGAACAATTGCGAATACGAACTTTCCAATCGCTTAACAATAAGAACAATTGCGAGCACGAAGTTTCCAATCCCAACACAACTATTCATATCTGAAACAGATTTCCTCAAATTCCTGCTGGGACTAAACATAAATTTCAACTTTCTGATCCATGTTCTTACATACGCTCATTGCAAGTTAACAAGAACCAAAACAGCAGAAAATAATCTGGAATCATCTCAACAAAGCAATCAAAAAACCTACAAAACTGAAGGTTCAGTAACACTCTGATCATAACAAACGATGTAGACGATCGATTTTCGGCATACTCACGGAGCCTGATGGATCAAAAACGCCTAAAACAACAAAAAGGATGGGGAGAAAAAACAGCAACGACATAGAATTATTTCGGAACAAAACGAGAAATGCGGGATTTGATAAGAGGAAAGAGGAAAACCTTGGGGAAAGCGGGGCTCTGAGCCCAAACAGCACCGTCGTTCCCGATTATAGCAGCGGCTTGGAGATGATGGCCATCGACATCATACATCAATTGATCATCAATGTAAGATTGCCACGACATTTTGGATCTGAAGCAATCAAATTCCCTCTGTATTTTTTCGTTTTTTCTGGCTCTTACACAGCTTCCGTGTCGTTCGAGCCTGAAGTTGGGAGAGGTTTATATATGGTAGTGTTTGGAAGTTGCAATTTGCAAAAGCGCTTTTTTGTGGGACCCGCGGTAGGACCGGATCCGTATGATTGAGTTTTGGTGGTCCCACCTAACGTATTGTGAACCGTTGATTTCGATTTGATCGAACGAGTGTTAATCCACAAGACTCGTTCGGAGTCGGACCCAATGAAACGTGGTAGATGGGAGCTCTGATTCGCTGTATCCACAATCATTTTCCCCATGCAATCGTAGCCGTCCAATAGTCTTGCCTGCCTTTGGTGGGTCCCACCTTCTTAAAATTGTTTGTAACCTCGACTAAAGAAAAGAAAATACTTGAACTTTATCCTTTATTTAAAAAACATCCCTCAATTTCCAAAACTTTAAAAAATAAAAAAAATCTTTTAGATCAAATTTGTAATACTTTGTTTCGAAAAAAACAAAACTAAAATTCATGTTTAGTTGTGATCCATATAATAGTGAAGACAAATACAATGATATAATGAAGTTTCTCTAAAAAAATGAGGTTTTTGATCCATAAATTTCAAGCTTTCCATTTGAAAGTTTGTAAAGACGAAGGCTTTAAATGGTTGAAGAGGTGGCGGTGATGATACCACACTCATATGGGTGAAGGTAAGGGCAAGGCTAGGGTCATGCAAGAAATTCCTAACAATTGGGACCAAACTTTTATATATATATATATATTTAGAATAAGATTGGATTTTGATTGGTTTGTGTAATGTGATTGCAAAATAGAGGAAGGAAGGGATGAAAAATGAAATGAATAGTTTGGAAAGCAAGAAAAGGGGCAATGAAGAAGTTGAGAAGCATTTTGAACAGCTTCCCAACACTGGATGTTCATCAAAATATCAACAAAAAAAAGTTGATGTGGATGCCCCTTCACTCTTCTAAATTTAGGGTCACAGAGTTTTGGAGGTTGTGTTATAAGCTGCAGAAGAAGAATGTGTTGGGGAATGGGGAGTGTTTTCTTGGGAGGCCCAACCCTTCCATGCACGCACCGAATCTTCAACGACTCCCTCTTCGCTTGACGAAACCCATTTTCTCCCCATTAAAACAAAACCCTTCCCTTCATTCTTCGCCTTTTGCCTTCCTTTCCCATTTTCTGCTTTTTTGTTCTTCGCCTTAATCGCCCAAAAGGTTAACTCCCATTCTTCCTTTTTCAAAACCCCATTGCGGTTGCTTTGCGTCTCTTCCCCTCTTCGAGTTTTGTTTATTTTTTTTCCTTCTTTCTTTCTTGGGTTTCTCTCAAAATCATTTTCGTTCGACGGTTTGAGGGGTTGCTTATCATTGGACCTGTGGCGACATTGAGAATATGAGATTCTATTTTTCTCGTTAGAAACCTGGTTCTTGGCCTGAATTTCGTTCCTTATCATGCGTTTTTTCGGATTTTACGATTTGAAGTCCCACAAAATCATTTTTCACGGATGACCCCCACTTCGCGGTCCTGGGTCCTCTGATTTGCGATTTCCTCATCGGCATTGTAATCTGGGTCGCTGTATTTTCTGTGCTTTTCATCAGCTCTGTTTTCGATTTCTCTGCTTTATTACAGAGCATGGGTTGTGTTCTGGGAAAGTGTTGTACTTGCAATCGCTACACGGCGTCTTCTGAAAGCGATATGGCCCAATTCTGTGATGCCTCGCCGTGTGGTTCACGAGGGAAACATATACTAACGGGAAGGTCATTGGAGTGTGTTCGTGTGCCTTCTCACAACTACTATATGGAGTACTCCCTCCTGACGCAGCGCGGCTACTACCCTGATTCCCCTGATAAAGGAAACCAAGATAGCGTCTGTGTTAGTACGAAAATTCGAGGTAACCCAAATATCCATTTCTTCGGTGTTTTTGATGGGCATGGTCAATACGGATCGGATTGTTCGAATTTCGTTAAGGAAAGGGTTGTGCAAATACTATGTAAAGATTCAGCGTTGTCGCAAGATCCCGTTAGAGCCTATAATTCGGCCTTTTTTACCACGAACGATGAATTGCATAAGAGCAAGATCGATGATTCCTTGAGTGGCACAACTGCTATTACTGTTCTTGTTGTTGGGAATATGCTTTACGTTGCGAATGTGGGTGATTCGAGAGCAGTGATAGCTGTTAAAGATGGGAATCGAATTATTGCCAAGGACATGTCCAATGATCAAACACCTTTTAGGAAGGATGAATGCGAGAGAGTAAAGCTGGCCGGGGCTACTGTGATGACAATTGATCAAATTGAAGGGCATAAGGATCCGGGTATTCAGATATGGGGTGATGAGGAGAGCCAGGGAAATGACCCACCTCGGCTGTGGTTGCCTAATAGCTTCTATCCTGGCACTGCATTCACTCGGAGTGTTGGAGATAGTACAGCCGAGAAGATTGGTGTCACTGCTGTCCCTGAGATTTCAGTACTTCAGCTCACTCAAAACCATCTTTTCTTTGTTGTTGCAAGCGATGGAGTGTTCGAGTTCCTTACGAGTCAAGCAATTGTCGATATGGTACCTATCTCAACTCAGTTCACCTTTAGTTTCAATGTTTGGTTAACGGCATTTCCTACAGGATTTTCTTTTGTTGTTATTAGTGTAATTTATGCATGCTTTATTATTTCTGAAAGATCATTTCTTCTTAATTATGAATGTTGTATTGTTATGTACTTTCTTCATTTAGGCCGCGAGGTACACGGATCCACGAGATGCGTGTGCTGCCATTGCTGGAGAGTCATACAAGCTATGGTTGAGGCATGAAAACCGGACAGATGATATAACAATCATCATCGTTCACATCAAAGGCATCTCTGCTGTATGAAAATCTGTCCATATCTAAGCTGAATGTCTGTTGTTTGCCTCTTTACTCACATCTGTGATCAGGCTGATGTAGAATAATACCCATGAGGATGCTTGGTAGGAACCGTAACTTTCTTGGAACTAGAGTTAGCAATAGACTAACCCTAGCCCACTGCTAGCAGATAGTATCGCCATCAGTCTCATGGTTTTAAAATATGTCTACTAGGAAAGAAGTTTTCACACCCTTATAAGGAATGCTTCGTTTCCCTCTCCCACCAATGTAGGATCTCACACTACTGAAAGTTGGTTAAATCATGTTTCTCTCGTCTTTTGGCACCTGATGACTAAAATTAGCTGTGTAAATTTGCTTATGTTTTTGGTTTAATAGCATCCTAGTTGCTGCATTCAGTACTCTTCCGGATGCTTTCCTCTTTTATGGTACTTATGTGGACTAAGTTAGCCGTATAGAATTTTCTTATCTTATTTATTTAAACTTCATTGTGATTGCTGTTGTCTGGTTTCCATATAGTACTAAATCATGTTTCCCTCTTCATTGGTGCTACGAAAACTAGTTGTGTGAAATCTTATTATCCTTCTGGTTTAAACTTCATCCTAATTGCTGTAGTCAGATGCTGTTGCAACTGCTGGGCTGAACGGGGTCCATTCAAGGCATAGAATTATCGAGCGGGGAACCTCCGAGAGATCAGCCTTCGCTGGAAGTTCGGAGGCCTTTCAATCCATCAGAAGTGATTTCTCAGATGTGTCAATCTCCCAGCATCATGTGGGTTTGATGCACAGAAGCACAGCAATTGTAGTTCCATCTCCTTCTCAGCACCGACCATTGGAAGTGGTTAGTATTTTAATTTCTATCCATTTGGTACAAAAGCTCTTAAAACCAATGGATACCTTCTTGTCATGCTGTTCAGGCATAACAACCTATCATCTTTGGTGACAGGAAGTGGGCTAAGGGTATGTCATGTCATCCCCTTGCTGCCGAAAAAGTTGCTCGTTTCATCGGTCACGAAGCTGTCTTAACTGTCAATAAAATCCTTGTAACCACAAGAGTACGTATGTCCAAGGAAGAACATAATGTTGCCTGCTCCTCTTTTTCCTATCTTAGACTTGCTTCGAGCTGGTTGAATCTAATTATGGTATACTCAGAAATGGCGACCCAACCGACGTGTGAGAAATCAATGACGTTTCCCATTGAACGGAATTCAGAGGAAGATTGACATAAAAATATACATTCACGTCCCGAAAATAATATTTCTTTTTCACTAATTAGGAATGTATTATTTTAAATAATATTCTTTCATCAAATAAAAATATTCACAAAATTTAATATTTTGGTTTGATGGTCTGAGGGGTTGCTTATCACTGCACCTGTGGCGACACTGAGAATCGAAGATGGTATATAATAATTTAGCCTTTTTAGTTTATCTGATAACATATATGGTGGACTAAATCATTACAAGATTTAAAGATGTGAAGGGAAAAACTGGCCAGGGTAACATTCAAATAAATAGGTCAAAAACTCCTCCACAAGTCACAAGGAGCAGCTCAATGAATTGAAAACAAACAGATAATTTTACATCTCATAAGACTTTCATTACTCAAAATTTTATTGCGGCTGGTGGAGCGGAGTTGAAACTGCTTCCGTGGCAAAGAACAACATGAACACAAGCATCAGAAATGGTGAGCTCTAAAATGTGCAGGTATCTCATTTGCTGTGAAATCTGCTGTTAACAGACTCATAGGTCGGGACATTAATAACTGCAACGATGACAATGAAGATTCAAGATGTCAGTCATTAAGATATAATTACAGCAAGAATGGTTAATTCGTCGAAGATTACCATCTCCATAGGACGCCATTGTTAGAGGAGATGATATAACTTTCTGGGCAATGTTGGTAATATCGTTCAAAGTGATCGAGTCTACAGCTTGTAAGAAGTGCTCCACAGGTTTCCTGCAATATTAAAAAACATGACCCTATAACTTGATGTTGCAGAGGATAAGGGCCATGGAGTTACAAAGAAATAAAAAAAAAAAGTTGGAAGTATGCAATTGTTTTAGAAGAAAAAACGCCTAAAAATTTAAAGGTAGGTTCAATCATAAGATATACCTCTCTCCATATGTTAAAATCTGCCTTCCAATATCCTCGGACACTATCATCTGCAATATATAAAGTGTTAGCTTGCTTTTATTTCTCTGTTTTTCTTTATTTCCTTCTCTTTAAAAGGAAAGGTTCCGATTTAAGTTCAGAAGTGAATACAACCCCAAAAATCAGGTATGCCTGAGAGAAAGAGAAGATAGGGAGTACCCTGGATTCTAGGTTCATCAAAACTGCAGATTTTGTGGACTCTTTGGCACGGTTAAGCTGCACCTGGGAAACTGGCACAATAAACAAAGTGCAAGAAGTATTAGACAGAACTTTTTTCTTTTTTAGAAAAAAAAAAAAGAAATAAAATTGAAATTCTGCAAACCTTGTCCAGGAGTTGCAATTGAGATTAGTTCTGATGCAGCAATATCAACTGCTTGGGCCACAAAGTTAGAACCCTGCATCACAAGATTGGATATTCGCAATTGAAACTATGATATGTAAGAATATGAATAAATAAAATAAAACTAAGACGAATTCAAAATTTTGCAGCTATCATCAACTTGATGAAGGATTAGTACAAAACCAATATAAAAAATTAATTGTTAGATTGTGCCTTACAGTGCTAGCATAAATGCCGAACAGACCCGTGTCATTGAAGATGCTGTTAAATGCAGAAAAAGATTGTATCTGCTGGTACTCATTCAAAACTCGGAGGTCTATTTTGAATCCAAAGCAATATAAAAAAAAATTAACTACATGTAAAGCAATAACAATAAATTGAGGAGAGAATAAAGCACCTAATATGAAAACTAGTAAAAAGAACAAGCCATAGATGAAAGGGGGCAGAAACAAACAGAAAATCCATGAAATACTTACATAACCTTGAGTGCATGCCTTTACCAGGCCCCCCAGCAGAAAATGAACCACCACCTCCCATAAGCATCTGCAGGACTGAGAGATGTTACTAGAATTCATCAAAAAAAAATTTGGTAAGCATGTTTTTTACCCCTGTTATGAGAGTACTTGATCAAGCTTCTATTCCATCTTTTAAAACAATCCAACAAGACAATTTGATAAAGATGTTTTGGTGTAACAGGAAAATAAACATCTTTAGATGTTAAGAAAATGAGGTACCTGAAGAACGGTCAAAACAATGGCATCTTTCTCCTTATGCCAACCACCAGGAACCTCAAACGCCAGGGCAACATGTGTGCTCTGTTCAAATCAAAAGCCTAAGTGAATATATGAAAATGAAGCTATAGAAAACAATATATCTGTGAGATCATAGTATAAGGACCAGGTTTATCATTTTTTTCCAAAAAAAAAAAAAAATGAAACCAACTTTATCATTCATTCAGCCATTTACAAGAATCAACGNCTTTCATTACTCAAAATTTTATTGCGGCTGGTGGAGCGGAGTTGAAACTGCTTCCGTGGCAAAGAACAACATGAACACAAGCATCAGAAATGGTGAGCTCTAAAATGTGCAGGTATCTCATTTGCTGTGAAATCTGCTGTTAACAGACTCATAGGTCGGGACATTAATAACTGCAACGATGACAATGAAGATTCAAGATGTCAGTCATTAAGATATAATTACAGCAAGAATGGTTAATTCGTCGAAGATTACCATCTCCATAGGACGCCATTGTTAGAGGAGATGATATAACTTTCTGGGCAATGTTGGTAATATCGTTCAAAGTGATCGAGTCTACAGCTTGTAAGAAGTGCTCCACAGGTTTCCTGCAATATTAAAAAACATGACCCTATAACTTGATGTTGCAGAGGATAAGGGCCATGGAGTTACAAAGAAATAAAAAAAAAAAGTTGGAAGTATGCAATTGTTTTAGAAGAAAAAACGCCTAAAAATTTAAAGGTAGGTTCAATCATAAGATATACCTCTCTCCATATGTTAAAATCTGCCTTCCAATATCCTCGGACACTATCATCTGCAATATATAAAGTGTTAGCTTGCTTTTATTTCTCTGTTTTTCTTTATTTCCTTCTCTTTAAAAGGAAAGGTTCCGATTTAAGTTCAGAAGTGAATACAACCCCAAAAATCAGGTATGCCTGAGAGAAAGAGAAGATAGGGAGTACCCTGGATTCTAGGTTCATCAAAACTGCAGATTTTGTGGACTCTTTGGCACGGTTAAGCTGCACCTGGGAAACTGGCACAATAAACAAAGTGCAAGAAGTATTAGACAGAACTTTTTTCTTTTTTAGAAAAAAAAAAAAGAAATAAAATTGAAATTCTGCAAACCTTGTCCAGGAGTTGCAATTGAGATTAGTTCTGATGCAGCAATATCAACTGCTTGGGCCACAAAGTTAGAACCCTGCATCACAAGATTGGATATTCGCAATTGAAACTATGATATGTAAGAATATGAATAAATAAAATAAAACTAAGACGAATTCAAAATTTTGCAGCTATCATCAACTTGATGAAGGATTAGTACAAAACCAATATAAAAAATTAATTGTTAGATTGTGCCTTACAGTGCTAGCATAAATGCCGAACAGACCCGTGTCATTGAAGATGCTGTTAAATGCAGAAAAAGATTGTATCTGCTGGTACTCATTCAAAACTCGGAGGTCTATTTTGAATCCAAAGCAATATAAAAAAAAATTAACTACATGTAAAGCAATAACAATAAATTGAGGAGAGAATAAAGCACCTAATATGAAAACTAGTAAAAAGAACAAGCCATAGATGAAAGGGGGCAGAAACAAACAGAAAATCCATGAAATACTTACATAACCTTGAGTGCATGCCTTTACCAGGCCCCCCAGCAGAAAATGAACCACCACCTCCCATAAGCATCTGCAGGACTGAGAGATGTTACTAGAATTCATCAAAAAAAAATTTGGTAAGCATGTTTTTTACCCCTGTTATGAGAGTACTTGATCAAGCTTCTATTCCATCTTTTAAAACAATCCAACAAGACAATTTGATAAAGATGTTTTGGTGTAACAGGAAAATAAACATCTTTAGATGTTAAGAAAATGAGGTACCTGAAGAACGGTCAAAACAATGGCATCTTTCTCCTTATGCCAACCACCAGGAACCTCAAACGCCAGGGCAACATGTGTGCTCTGTTCAAATCAAAAGCCTAAGTGAATATATGAAAATGAAGCTATAGAAAACAATATATCTGTGAGATCATAGTATAAGGACCAGGTTTATCATTTTTTTCCAAAAAAAAAAAAAATGAAACCAACTTTATCATTCATTCAGCCATTTACAAGAATCAACGCCAAATTACCTCACCTGTTTTGGCCAAGTAATATCCAATCCTATGATGTTTATCGTTTCTTTTCTACCGCATGTTATTTTCAAATGGTTGGCCATTTAGATGGCGTTTCAGTATAAAGCTCATCCAAGTCACATCCATTGCACCTCAGTCAAAGTTTGAATCATGGTCTGGATGTATATTATGAATAAATAATATAGAACATATTTATAGTTTATACACACCCCACAGTCAGCTTGACGACGATAATCCCCTCCAACATAGGCAGATTTTGGCAGTTTCAAGCTTGGTACTTTCGGTAGGTCAGATAGAAGAGGTTCTGCAATGGATAAAAGCTCCTCATGTTCAACCCCAGATGCTGCAAGCACCATTCTAGGGGCAGTGTAGTTCTCCTGAAATCCAAAAGTGGGAACTTAAGTACTGGAAAACAGAAAAGGGAACAAAGAAATGAAATTATCTCATATTGAGGAAGGCTAAGAAGATATATGGAGGAAAAAGAGAAGAAAAAGATGAGAGTAGTTATAAAAGAAAGCAAGGTCTCACAGCAATAAATTCCTCCAAGATGGTGCCGTCCAATCTGCTCAACGCAAACTCTGGGGCTACAAGAGGATTTGCAAGAGCACCCGAATACCCAGCAGAATGAATTGCTTCAAGAAGTAAGCCCTGGGGGTTATTTGAAAGTTCTCCAATTTCTGCTTTCAACTTTTGCAGCTGTATGATCACATGGAGTCAAAACATCGGCAATGGACACAGAAGTCCAATACTACCACTTTTCATTCATGATTATCGTACAAGACAAAATTCTAGAAAGGTGACTAGAAGACAGATTATTACCTCTTCTTTGATTTCCCAATCCAAGAATACAGGATTCCTGACACAGTCTACTAGCAATTCCACCATCTCTGGAACATATGTCTTTAAGGCATCAAAAGTGTATCCCATTTGCTCCCGGGAAGCGGAGGCACCTGTGTTACCACCAATAGCTTCTACTTCCCTAACAATGCGCAAATGGCTCCGGTTTGTTGTACTCTTGAAGGCCAACCTTTCTAATAAATGTGATGCTCCAGAAGACGATGGGGTCTCATATATGGAACCGCAATCAAGATATATCCCAATAGAGGCTCCAGGATTCTGGTTAACCAACCAGTCTAAAAATTGTCAGTTCAATAAATAAATAAGTTGACTATAAAAATTAAAACAAGAAAAGCTTAGATGTACATTGTGTTTTAAACTCCATACATACCAAAGAAGTTTCTGAAGCTATTCTCGCACCATTAGGAAGAGTCGTAATCTTGGTTTTGCTTGGTTCAACGTGATCGGGCAATGGCGGTGGAAGAGTAATGTCAGATAGAGGTGTTTCCAATGGGGGAAGAGAGCTTGAACGTTCTCCAGTGAGCCAGCTGAAAAAGCCTCCAGACGTCGGTCTTGCAGCAACTGCACTGGATGTTGCAAACCTAGAGGCCCCCAAATTGGCCGCATGGTTCTAATTCCAAGAAATTACATTACAAAAAAAAAAAAAAAAAAAATCAGAAATGAATTTTTCTAACAATTTTCTATTAGAAATTCATTTCCACGAGAACTCTCAATCTCTTGAAAGCTGTTAAAGAAAACAATGCTAGGAGAACCCATTTCAATATACATTCAAGCGAGATACACGATGCGAGAAATGCAGTTCGAAGACATAAACCTAGCTCAGAGTAAGATTACAAAGATAGTATCCCGTACTCCATCCAAACGAAGAGCCATTTTCATGTTAAAAATTACGACACCATCACTGTATTGATAATGGCAGTAAGTCACCTAAGCAAGAATCAATCCACAATCAAGAAATCAAAATGCCAGCCCATCTCTCCAGCGTCCGAGTGGATGCAACACAAGTATTTTCCATTCTAAGCATCTAAGAACCATCCAAACCAATACACGATCCAAAGATTTATCAAAGCTTGCAATCATAACAACCAAACCCCATACAGAACACATCAAACAGCAACCAACATTAAAAAAAAAAAAAAAGACAAAAAAACAGATCTTTAACACACCCCATCTTCAATTATCAAAAGAGATTCATAAAACACATCAATTTCCTGTCTCACAGTTGGTAAAAATTTCTTCCAAAGGGAAATTATAGGACGAACTGACTGACCTTGAGCAACCTGAGTCGTGAACCGGCGATTCTGTGCATGGTGGAGCTCAGTCGCAGTGAACCCTAGAGAATCTTTCTTCTTTTCGCTCGAGTTTCGTTTTGGAGAGAAACCCAAACGGTGGCTACGATGGGTGCAGTAGAAGATTAGTATATAGTAATCTTTTTTTTACCTTCTCTATTTCGTCTTAGTTTCTTATTAATTTAATTAAATCGCTTACCCTTCATAAATTTCCAATTCTTTTAATAAATTTAATTCTAGAAATGCTTTAATTTCATACTTAATAAAATAAATAAATTAGAACAAAACAAGGGGGCCATTGCAAGTGTCATTCCTTCAACAGACATGAAACATGATCAGACCAAGACAAGCATGCCCTTTGGTGTCACTGCTTCAAACCATGTCCATTAAATTATACTCTTTTAAAACAAAAACATAATATAAAATGAAAAGAAAAAGAAAAAAGAGGTCCAAAATCTCCAATGGTTTAAGACCATATGTTACAGTATAATTGGGCAATCCATTAAAGTTACCAATATATTTCAAATAGTCAACTATTAGAAGTAAAAGTCAACCCTTCTTTCTCTATCTCCTTCTTCTAATTGAACTTTCCTTTTTCTAAGAAACAATTGAATTACATCATTAATTACGTTACAAAATTTACCCATTACAGATTCAGATTCTGTTGTAGTCCGTGAGCCGTAGGTAGAAGATCACAGTTCGCACCAATAATAATAAGAACCATGGACGATTCAAGAATATTCCATTTCAATCCCTCTCTGATTCTTCCTTTTTTTTTTTTTTTTTTTTACTTCTTCTACAATCCACCAGACGCCATGACCTTTTATACC